CTCAAAATTTTTAATGATCAAATCAGAACAAAATTCAATAAACCTCTTTATTGAACATAATTCTTATTTTGATGAATTCAGGAGAGAGATTAAAGATATTCAGACTTGTAAGTCTTACTATCAGAATTATATTGTTTTGAATGTAATGATGTCAATGTGTTAATTTCCATGTTTTTCTTTAATGAAAAAATAACATTATCATCACCACCTTATTCAAAATAGTTGATATTAAGTAAATATACACTCAAAATAATGTAATGCCAAGATTAAGGTGTATCCTGAAGTCTTTAAACAGTTTCTGGAATTCATGGAAATTAGAATCATGTTCAATAATTCATAAAGTTTATTGAACACGTTCAGAGTATAGTTATTAAAACTTCAAATCAAATAAGTAAAAAATAATTTTTGAATTAAATAGTTGTCATCATGTGCTGAGGATAATAACAAGCAGTTATCATCATCAGCATGTAATGGCAACTATTTAACTGTTTAATTAGATTTTACTTCTTTCACATCATGTGCAAAGATGTGAAAGAAAGAAATTTAAAGTAATCATACAATTGATACAGTAATTTTTATGTTTTAATTTTGTTTTATATATCCAAGTATTAATATTAAAATTTAATAAAATATAGTACTGTATGTAATTTGTCAAATTATAAAAAAATTTTTTTGATTATTTATATTTTTGATTTAAATTTATTTTAAAATGGAATATAAATTGTATAATTTTATATGTAAATTATAAAGTATTAACGTTGTAATTTGAATATATGTTAATATTGAATAGTATTGTGATTATAATGACTGCCTGGTATTCATGATATGTGATATTCATGGTATATTTATGCAGCAGACTTCTTTCAGTATGAAAAAATGGAAAAAAATGGAAAAAAAATATATAAAGGAGCAACTTACCTATAGAAAATCCAAATATTGCACAGTAGAGAATCAACAAATAATAGTTATTGATGAAAGGACTAATTGCTGTTGCAACACCACCAAGAACCAATGCACAATTGTTAATAAATAGCGCATTTATGTGCGGTCTATCAGACATCCATCCACTAAAAACACGTCCAACGGTATTAGTTATACCAATTGTAGAAAGGAGAATAGTTGCATCTTCATCCGATATTCCTATCAACACGGCACGATCTATGATGTAGATGAAAGGTACGAAAAAGCCTGCCAAGGTCAGAAAACCAGAAACTGCGAGTAAAATAAAAGTTGGACTGGTTAGCAACGATAGATCCAACATCTGTCGAAAGGTATCTGTCATGGCGGAGGAACAGTGATACCATAATTCGTTGTTCGAACTTTCAACTTCCTTTGGGATTTTCGTAACACTGGCGTGATAGTGTTTCATGTCTGGCTGCGAACGAAATTCCGGTAATCGAAGTAAACTGGCGCTGAAGAGGATATCTTGTCTGTAGAAAGGTCGCAACATTTCTGGCTGGCATGACCCCTTTCTTAAAAATTTAGACGGTGATCTTCTCTCCCATCTCGAAGAAGCCCTTCTCGCTACTTCACTGTAAGGATTAGAGGGAAGACAAGGAAGCATATCGCTGCTAACGACTTCGCTATAAGAAGGGGGTGGACTATTATTGCTTTCCGCGTGAGAAATAGTAGAATCGGTATTACTTCCTCCACTGGTCTGATCGGTATATGATTTGTTTTTCACAGAATGCGAATTGGAACCGTTCGAATTCTTCCACTGAGAACCGAATTGAGAACCGTTTTGGCCTATGAGCAATCCATTGCTGACAGATTCGTCTGAATCCCATTTGTTCAACATATCTCTAGCTTCTTTGATCCTTAGCAAAAGTGGTTTAGCAGGTTCGGGTGGTAACGGCTCGAGTTTTCTCTTGGGTTCCAGAGGTCTAAAAAACGATCCGAAAACCATGCAGTTAAGAATTACGGCACTCAAAACCAGCAAACAACCTTGCCATCCATACTCGTTGACCATAATCTGAACTACTGGTGCCAATGTGAAAGCACCAACTCCCGATCCACAGACAGCGATACCCGTTGCCAATGCTCTTTTTTGATCGAAATAAAAACCAACGGTTACTATTGCTGGCAAAAATATGAAGCCAAATCCTATTCCTGTAAATAAAATAAAATAAAAAAATAAGTCAAATAGCCAATGGACATATAAATATATGAGAACTAATGTTTGACTACTAGTACTATATTAAAAATTGGTCCAACCGTTAACTTATATTTTAAAATTTGGCAATAAAAATATATAAAGTTAAGGGGAAAAAAACATTAAATAAAATACTAACCTCCTAGTAACCCCATAGAGACTATGAGAAAATTAACGCTGGTTGCGAAGTAAGATAAAGCAAAAGCCACAGCTGCAACGATACTTCCAGCAATGGTTACGGGACGACAACCATACGTATTCGCTAGGGCACTAACAATTGGACCTGTAATGATGATAATCCAGGATTAATAAAATAAAAGTTGCAACATTCACTTTTATAAGTCTTAATAAAATAAATGCGCTTAATGCTTATCCACGTTGCAGTGGCATTCATGATTCAAAACTATTTCATTTGCTTTAGTGTAAATGCATCCTTCTTTTATGTTTAATTTACTTTTTTTTTTTTTTTTCTTTTCTTTCTTAATGAAGTATATAAGTGAAAATCACTCGAAGCGAGAGGCCTTTTAATCTCTCAGAGGAGATCTTCAGTCCTTTTCTTACAATTCAGTATTAAAGAGCAATTCATTGCAGCTGAAAGTTGTGTTTTAAGGAGAAGTACAAATGAAAATTGTTTAGGAATTAAAAATTACATAAAATTCCATAATTACAATTTAAAATTTATGCAGAAAATATTCGCTTTCTTCAGTTCTAATTTTAAAGTTTCCGTGTCAGATTAAATTTTGTCAGAAAGCATATTATAATTTGCAATTCGTTTAAATTAAAAACATTTTTCAGACGATAAATTTGTGTAAAGCATGGAATTATAATATAGAATTAGATAATATAAAGCAAATATTATATATTAATACATATGCAAATAACGTTTCATTGTATAAACGTTATGTGACAAATGGATATTCATATGCGCCTTACATCTGCTTCCCTGCCAATATCCTGTGCTCGACAGAAAAGCTTGTATTTTTTTTATTCTCTCAAAAACTTCAATGTACAGTTATTTAAAAATAATTTAAGACATTTTAAAGTAAAATGCAGAACGGACTATAATTTTCTGTTTTTATAAATAATTGTCAAATTTTATTCTCCTATGCAAAAATAAATAAAACTTGAATAATAATAAAAGGATTCATTTATATTTAATAAATTAATTGATATGATATTAGAGATACAAATGTGCAAATTTTAAATGTTTCAAAAATTAAAAGCATAAGATTCGATATATCAATGAGTTCATTATAAGATGCCATTTAGAGGAGTGCGTTTTTTATAGGCATGATTCTGTTTAATGCATTCTACAAAGAATGCACTAAACAGAACCATGAAAAAATCTAATTTTTCTATTGATAATCAGTATTTTGAAAGTTTTATTCCCTACAAGAATCCACTGAAACAATTTGTAGATAATCTAGGTAACTGTCAATAGACATTTTAATTGTTAAAACGTAATTTTTTAAAAATATTTAATAGAATATATTTTAAAATATTTAAATAAATAAAAGTTAAAATGATGACAAAAATTTTAAATTTACATATTATGTATTCATAATAATAGAACTTGAGAAAATATTTCCGCATTATAGAATAAATATATTAAAATTACTGTACATTTAAAGTGAAGCGCAACGAAGCTATAAATTGGGTTTTAAAATTATCTCGTCTGAGCACTGTAAACTTTGTTATGTAATTCGAGATTGACGTACTTTAGGTGAGAAGACATTGATGTTTTGTGAAGTTCACGTTTGTAGAAACTGGCAATCTTTCACTTAAAAAATACTTTCGATAAGTGTTGGTGGCTTTGGCTTCCGCTTTAGTAAAGATGCCGGTGAAGAAATGTTTATTTTCGTTTGGACGTCTTGTAGTTACTAGTGCTTGTGCTATTGCCAATTAGCAATTCAATGCAAATATATAATTTAAGGGAAAAGTTTGTTCTTTCATGATAAGTTTACGAGTGTTGAGGATTTATGGAATTAGAAAATTGAATATGAATGATAAGAAACTTTGAGGACAGGTCTTTAAAAAACAAATTAAACTATAAATTTTAATTTTAAAATATTTTATCATTCAAAAATCAGTTGAATTATTCAGTGATTGCTGTATTTTTATACTGATGTAATCTTGGAGTAATTAAATACATCTAAACATACGTAACGTAACGTACTAACGTAAAATGGTGACATGTTGCTCCTCCTTTCAAGTTTGCCAGCGTTTTTCTAAAGTTAAATGGCCAAATTTTACAAAGCACTAAATTTGATTTAAGTTACTTAAAACGGTACTTATCACTGTTCCATCGACAAAAGAGTTTTAGAACCTTCAGAGCACCATGTACTTACATGCGGCTGAAAAACAGATAACGCTAAGTCTATATGGAAGGTGAAGGATAATAAAATAGCGACAACATCGCCACCAATGAGAAGGCATTCATAAACTCCGTTGGAATAGGTTAAGTTCAGATCAGTGATGGATCCAGAAGAACCCAAAGCGATGGTTAAAAGTCCCTGTAGTGCTCTATGGATGAAGTATAATTATTCTTATTATTTATGGTTCTCTACCACTATATTTTAAATGGTTTAATGTGTTGTGTCCAACTTTTTACTGCTTTGTTTACATTGTCACTGTAATGTTTTTTCTTGTGAGTTATGCTTTTGCCTGTAAAGCAACACTTCCGATTGTGATAGCAACATTCAGAAGCGAAAAACAATGAATTTTGTATATTGTAGTGGATGTGCAATATTGTACCCAATAAATGCATGTATTAATTATGATTTTATGATAGCAAGCGTTTTACTTCTTAAATCAGCGTTTTTCTCCAAACCTTACATTATTTTGCTTTCCTGAAGATTGGCATCTCTGCAGATAGCCTATATGTTCTATTGCCTGGCGTATATTAATGAAACAATCAATCAATCATTATAAATTTTCTATTTTACAGTTCTTCCTCCTTTCTCTCCTTCATATGCATTCTTTTTAATTTCTAATTTTTCATGTAATTGCTGAGAATTTAATGCTTAAACAATGGCGAAGATTCCACTTATTGCAAACGTTTAGTTTTATATAAAAAATTATAATTATTGAATGTAATATGTAAAAATATTTAAAAATTCAATATTTAATTGTACAATGTCAAATAAATTTTAATAATTTCTTCTAGTTTTAAGAGGCTTTGAAGAAAATGAAAAATGGAGATATATATATATATATATATAGACCTAAACGAATGTTTATATTCAATTTTCTTTAAAATTTGCACATAAAATACGTTAGACATGACGAAATATTTTCTTTCATGACACAATTTAACTAAATATTTGATATTAATTCTACACTGTAATATGTTTCAGGATTTCTTCCAAGATACGATAAAGAAATGTTAGAATACATTTAAATAAATATATTCTTTCAGTTAACGAGTATTTTTTTCATGAAAAACATACCTATTTTAAAAATTAATTTTTTTTTTAACCGATTAAATACATTAAATTTGCATTTTTGTAAATTTTCATCTTTTTTTCTTTGATTTTAAAGTATTTAACATAAACTTTTAACATTTTTAAATATAAAATATGATAAGTATGAAGTTTTAAAAATTAATTATTAATTAAAACTCCAATTTTTAATTAATTAAATAAAAAATTATAAAGGAATGTTCATAAGAAACTTAAGGAAATTTATCATTGGCTAATGATGCTATTATAAAAAAATATTTACTGTTTTGTAAGGTTTAAAGTATCCATTTTAAGGCTATCGAAATTAACATTTACGTAGAACTTTCGTCATTTATATACATTAAAAAGATGGTCAACATCAGAAAAATGACGTCGATTTAATAATCAAAGATTATTCTACTTATCTAAAAAGATAAATATTTAATTTTCAAAGGCTAAACTGTCCTAATTTCGATTTTGTTTCGCAAAATTTATTATTCTTTATGGCAAATCAATTGCAACTTGAGGTATTGACTGAATTGCATTTGATATTATAACTCAATATGCTAATTTCTTTAATCAAAAATTTTTTCGGACAAGTGAGTAGATAAGAGCTGTTAAGGTTGTAAAATTATGAAATGTGATACGAGATTTTTAAGATTTTTTGGCATAAAATGATTAACCTTTTCTGTTTAATTTTAGAATAAAAAATCGTACTTTGATTCAGAGATTTTAATAATTGATCTCAAGTTATTTATGTTTTTAATGTTATTAAAATAAACACAATCCTTTATCTTGTATATTAATTTGTATTTTTCGAATCTGAAGACGTGGAATTTAATTTCTAAATTTAAACGAATTAAAAATTTCTAAATCAAATCTCAAGAAGTGGTATTAAAAAAATTTAGAATTTTAGAGAATTATAATTTTTTAATACAAAAACTGTATGAAATTTTATTGTAATATATTACATATCAAATTGATAAATATATATTATAATGTTTAATTTGTGCTTTAATTGCTAGTTTTATGGATTAAATTATCTCGAAATAAACCGCTAGAGATATGCATAATCGTGTCAATAATTAGAGACATTATAGAAATTACATGTATTGCACGTACACGTGTGTTAAAAATTTTTTTTCTTTTAGATAAATTAAAGTTTACATAAAACATTAAATTTTTCTTCCTTTTTAAAAATTATTTCATTATTTGATAGGATGTAAGATTAAAAATTTACATAAAATATTAGATTTTGAAATTTACAATAAGATCAATTGCAACTTGTGGCATTAATTTCATTGATGATTTCCGCTGCTACTTGAGATATTTTATGGAATAAATTGTCTCTTGAGTCATTTACTGCAATGAAAATTGGACTCTATTGCACAGAATTCATTGCTACTTGAGGCATTGACCTCCATTTTAAAGACTCACTTGCCATTTGAGATACTACCTCGTTGCATCAATCTATGCAATGATGCAATTGATACATTTTTAATATATTTATTAAAATTTGAAAAAAAATATTAAAACTAATATGTAATTATAATAATTATTCCTATCATATTTTTGAATTATTATACATTAAGAAACAAGAATCTCAAGTAATAATGAAAAAAAAATGAAACTAATCTTATATTGCTTGATATTAAAAGTATTTATTTATATATTATGCATTTTTTTCTATCTAGTTCTGTATATTTTAAATAAGAGTATAAAACGCAAACAATTTGCCGATTAAAATCTTTTTTTTTTACTATAATCTGACGTGGATATCTTAAGGATTTGTTAAATTACCTTTAACAAACTTCTAAAAAAAATTTGATAAAATAATATTTTTAAAAAATTAATTCATTTTCGTTATAAATTAAATGGAAAAAATAGGTTAAAAACACTAAAGTGAATTATTAATAAATAAAAAAATATTCATCTTAATAAACCATTTTCTAAAGTAGGAAATGGTAAATTATCGTTCGATTGGTTTACAGAAGAATACGATTACAAAAATTATTATCATAATACAAATAATATAGAATATAATCGTTATCTGGAATGAGAATTATGCCCGATATCTCGGTTATTTGTAAAATTATCAGAGATGTTATCTGTTACCATTCTATAAACAGAAAGAACTAAGATAAACTTCTCATACTATACAATTCTACGTTATATATATATGAATTTACTTAAAATGTCATTTTTAATAATAAAATTAGTTGTATTGTGTGTAAAAATATTTGTTTTTTAATTATTACTTAAATTTTTTAAAATGAAATCTTGCATTTTCTACTCCATTTTTAGTTTATCTTTCCTACTCTATTAGAAATTTCATTTTGGATGCTCTTAGTGATAAATTAAGCATCTACACAGCATAATAATTAGATTCGTTTAGTAAATTGGATCATATAAATCCTATAACATTAAAATAAATAATTAAGTAAAGCAGGCTAAGTCTATTAAGAAATCCTTTTCCCTCGACCTTGGATTTTCACTGGAATCTATAATGTTAAATCTATAACTGAAATTTATACAGATGATTTCAAGTAGAATTTGGTGTAATTTTGCATACAGGAAGCGGAAGTTATTCTAAAAAACAAGTAACAATCTATCCTAATTCCCTTTTATA